TAGATTACTATTAATTATAGGAGACATGTGGGGTGAAAGATATGAGTCATCCATTCCTTAGATTAGCCAACATGATTCAAAATAAGGTACTGGAACCTTATTATCTAAGTTCCTAAACCTTATTTCATCAAATATAAAAAAATATGAAAAATATTAAATAATATCAACCTTGGTATAAATCCTTTTATTTATGCATATCCTTTTTAGATATCCAATCTTCTTATATATTTATATATTCATATGTCTTATTTAATTACCTTAGTCAACAAGATAGGATTACTAAATAATATATCCAATACGGGTGGTGTGATCATCTAGCGGCTCCAAGTTGGCCCCACACGCACGTCCCATAAGGATCTATGGTGGGCCTTCATAGGCCCCCATATCCAATAGGATTTATAAAAATATAAAATAGATTTTTAGAATACAGAAAATAAATTTTATTTTCTTTGATTATTTAAATACTGAAATATAAATCTATTTTGTAAAAATAAAATAACTAGATACTCACAAAAATTCAAATAATCATTCTAAAAAGCATTAATCATCAAAATAATTAAATCCAAATGATTTTGATGGGAATCATATTCATCTAGGTCTAGGAATTCTTATATCGTCGAAGTACTCAATCTCCTATTATGGATTATAATACATACTTGCTTTCTAAAACTAACCCAGCAGTTCCCATTACCCACAAATCACTGCAAGGGTTCAAGATTTGGCTATCAAAGTCAACCAATACGCAAATGGACACAATCATAGCCTACGTATTACATGTTCTCCCCTTAGAGATGAGTCCAATATTATATAGACCTGACGCAACCACAGTTCTATGATGCATAAGGGTAATATCTCGCACATGTATATACTTCATCCTCAATGGTGACTCGTTTTTATGATATAGCTATCATATGTATATGTCGTGTGATGGTTAAGTAATGAGGTTTGGGCCCTCATCTCTATAGGCCAACCATCACACACAAGGGTCATACAATCCCTTGGCTCACACACTCAGACAACTCTGACCTCATCAAGGGATAACTAATAATACCCTCTTCGGTTTTTATTCCATGCCCAGGTAACGAGGATTTTCCAACTCAACTGATTTAGCTCGTCGAGCCAAGTGTGAGTCCCTCTGAACCGCACTAACACATGAATTCTATTGATTCACCATGTCAAGTATTGATTATATGCTCTAATAAGACCTTTAATGGCGAAATAAATCCAACACACATATGAATAGGTCTATTTTGGTCAAGGACCCTAACAATCATCCTATGTTTAATCTAGTCATCTTATCTTTACTTATGTGCCTGAATCTAGCATGTCACATGATAGAAGGAAAGACATCATCATGCACGAAAAAAAATAAGTGAAGGTAGGAGGGACGATACACCATTAACAAATGAAAGAGAAGAAGAGGAAGTAGAACACAAACAATCTTCTATATCCAAAGTAAAAAGTCCATCAACTAAATAGCTAACGAAAATTGAATCATCCTTAAGTTTAATTTTTACATTATTGTTTTAAAAAGAAATCAAATGCCTTGCCTGAGAGAATTGGGAGACAAAGAGTAGGCTCCTCCACATCCTAGGAGTGTAGAGAATATCACGAATAAGCATGATTTGACCATATTAGAATTGAAACCTAAAAGTCCTCATGCCCACCACATCGTTAGCAATGTTAATGCCCTTTGAACATCTTCATGCCTCTCACTGGAAATTGATAAACCTCTATGGATCAAATCTACATCCCTCGTTATGTGTTTCACCTCTCCTGAATCTATAATCCAACAATTAGAAAGTGGATGAGCAACTAGCGCCTCTATGTGCACACTAGCATAATCAATGGAATGAACCTTTGTACGGTTCAATGCATCCACGAGTAAAGTTTCGAACCACGCATAGTGATCAAATTTGGAAGCAAACTTTATGAAGTCACAGGAAAAAAAAAAATCTAAGAGCGGACCTCTATTAGTGACTTCAATATTAATATTAGATACCATATGCATCCTAATGCAGCAAAAACTACCATAAAAACTCAAAAACACAGATTGGATGGAGGTTATGTATCTTTTCAGGCTTCATCTCCCTTTTGAGATGGAAGGATTTGAACCTCATAATAACATGAGTAATATTTGTTGTTTTATAACTTGGCCACACACGACTTAACAATGAATACTAATATCAGTATTGGTTGTTTGTCAGTGTCAAACTAAATATCTTTTTTATAAATAATAAAAAAGTAATAACATATTATAGTTATATAAAACAATATTTTTATTACAAATAGTTAACTTAGATTCAAAGTATTTTATTTTACTAATAAGTGTACTTTTGGCCTCTCGCGAGTTTATTAATTGGGAGGGCTTTCTATGTGAACCCACCCACATATATGGTATATATGTGAGGGAAAGGCCGAAGTTGTACAATAGAGATAAATTTGAGATGTAGTGTAATCCTAAGATACTACACCATACATATACTCCCTCATGTGGAAACTTATTCTAAGAATATTTTTTTAATTTAAATTTACGATGTTAAAGAAAAAAATAAAAAAGAAAAGAAAAGAAAAGAATGAGATTAAAATTTTCAACACAAACCCATTGTTCAAGATTTATAAAGCACACCCTCTGGGAGAGTAGAGCTTCGTAAAATCCTAACAAAACCCACTTAGCAATAATAATAATTATAATAACAAAAACAAAAACAAACCCATATGATGTTTTATTTAGGGAAAATTGCTGAAAAACTCCTAAAATATACTTTCTAGACACTCTACCCCCACCCTAAACTTTTTTAACTTCTTTTTCTCAAAAACCATCTAATACCCCCCAACTCAAAAAGTGATAACTTTTTTGACGAAAATACCTCTTCCCGTACCTTCACCGCAAGAACAAATCATTTGGACGAACCCCAATAATACTTTCACCAGACCGTGGTTGTTATTTGCCAGGCTGCTTATTTAGACAGTGATACGTCGGACCGTAGAATACTAACGTCGGACCACCCTACTCACGTATCTAAAACGTCGGACCGAGACCATGAAATGCGGAACTTACGTCTCCAGTAGTAAAATCACCAGAGTGAAGTTCGATAACGCCGGACAGCGAGTAAGATATTGCCAGACTGCATCATCTCAGTGTCGGATAGATTGACCATAACGCTAGAGAGAAGCTGTGAAACGCTGGACTGAACATCATTCCAGAAACGCATGTCGGACCGTACATTGCAAATGCCGAACTGACCCATTCCAGTAAGTAAATTGCCGGAGCACTACTTCAAATCGTCGAACTACCCACATTACAGTAAACATATCGCCGGACCGCATACATACACTGCCGGACAACTGCATCAAAACCCCGGAGTGATTTTATTATAGTATGCAAAACGCCGAACCGCACCCACAGAATACTGGACTGCCTATGAAAACGTTGGATCGACGGTCACAAAATGCCGGACTGCCTACGCAAACGCCCTTTTTAACGTAGAAGTTAAAAGGGGGGGTACTTTTGTCTTTATTTCTATTTTTTTTAGGTTGGGGGGTATTAGTCAAAAAAGATGGTTTTTGAGAAAAAGAAGTGAGGAAAGTTTAAGGTGGGGGTAGAATGTCTAGAAAGTATATTTTACGGGAGTTTTCAGCAATTTTCCCGTTTATTTATCCGAACCTCTAACCTAACTTGGGAAGCTATTAAAGTATGCCGCGTGTGCACAAGCCTCATTCATACTTTATATGTAAAAAATTAAAGGACCCGGTTTCTATGTGGGCAAGCTCGCATATGTAGAAATGTGGGCCTCTTATATAATCTCTAACATGGAGATCACAAATATGAAAAAATAAATAAATTTCAAAAACTAAAAATAATAATTCTAGTAAGAAAATATTTGGATCGTTAGCTTTCATTGTGTTTAGATGAAATACCTACTTGCATCCATCCATAAGATGAACGAAAAAGTTTATATAAGGTTGCAACCTTAAAATGTAGAATTAAGGATCTACCTCAAAAATCCATCGGAAAAGGTTATTTTCATGTTAAAAAACCATCTAATTGATCATCTTGACATCGAGATGTATGAATATGAAAAAAAAAAAGATTTTACATCCTAGAAATAGTGCATCTTGCAACACATTATCTAGACTGTCCATTTTCAAGATTTTCATATATTAATAGATCTAGTTGATTATAACCATTTTTGGAGTTTAAAATTTTATAATTAGAGAAAATAGAATTTCTGATAATCCAAATAATTTTTTACACCAAAATTATATGTTATGATGAAGTTTACAGGTGCTCATTAAATGGATTGTTTAAGGTTGCAACTTTATAGAAACGACACCTTAAGATGAATGCTTTCCACTTTTTGGACCGCATATGTAGAAATGTGGTCCAGCCCGCATGAAATAATTTTCTAAAATTTAAAATGAAAATTTTTATATAAAGTTACAATTTTATTTGTAGAAATAAAGTGATATTAATTTGTATCGCTCATTTTATTTAGACAGTGTAGATTTGACACTATTTTAAAAGATGTATCATGTATTAATATTGTTTTAAAAAATGTGTCAAATTTACACAATCCAAATAAAATATACCTCAACCGTATTTCTATAAAAGATAAAGTTGCTATAAGGCTTAGGCTTTACAAAAATGAAAGAAAGTCTAACCTCAAGTCCTCATTCAGTAAGCATTTTGGCAAAGGAAGTCTCTATGATGTTCTAAAATCAATTTCTACAATTGAAACTAAAAAAATGGTACAGATCTTAAGAGTCTATAAATACTTATTTTAAGATGTAATAGACCGTCTAGATAATTTGTTACAAAAATACGCGAGCCTAATTTTTTTTTTGTTTTTTCTTTTCAAAATTACAATGTTCAAGCCAAGCCGAGGTTACGGATATAAAGCATTTCCAATCCTTAATTGTAATTTTAGACGAGTTATAAAGCGAAGTTTTACTTATTTTGAACTATAAAACCATTTTTATTATGTAAATAAAGTTGCCAGACATAAAAGCCGCAGAGCCTTGCGCAAAGGGCTAAAGGAAAGTGCTTTATATATGAAAAATTGATATAAGAATCTCTGAGTCTTGAGCAAGGGGCTAAAGGACAGTTGAAACTCTGCTTCTCTCCAGCTTCGATCTCCTTCCCGTCAAATACTATGGATGTAATAACTCAACCATATCTAGTTTTCAGTTTTTCTTTTCTTTTTTTGTCATTGTTTTATCATGGTTTTGTTCTTCTGTTTTGTTCTTCAGTCTCTTGCTTCTGATCCTGTAAACCAGTGCACGGCGACGAGCTTTGAGATGGACTCACAGAGGACACAGTAAGTTCTCTCTTTTTTCTTTCAGGTTTTTTCTCATAAAAGCCTAATTTCTTTTTACCTATAGACGATTATGTATAAGTTCTCCGGTTTGTTGGTATCTTTGTTCCTTGCTTTTTATTTTCTTCGCAAATATGGAACCCTTATTTACAGTAGTCGGACTCTGTTAATTTAGATTAGATTGGGTTGATTTCGTCTGCCCCTTCGAAATTAACAATTTGTGTGGAAGTTTGTTGAAAAAGACTGCGTGCTCTTTCTAAGATGTTGGTGAATTTCTAGAGTTTACTCCTTTATTCAGTCATGTGATCGGTTGAAATTGGGAAATTTATGCAGACAACGGCACATTATGCATGTTTTTCCCATGGATAAATATGTGAATGATCTGTGGTTCCTTTTCTCTTTTAATTTTATTGTTCGAATCTTTTATTGAATGGTGGTGTTCAATGCAGGTATCCATATGTTACTGGGACCTCTGTGATAGGTGTAAAGTATGAGGATGGGATTCTTATGGCTGCTGATACGGGAGGTCAGTTTCCAAATTTTTTCTAATTTTATGAATTGCATAGGATTGGGTAACATAATATTAGATTTCAATTGAAGGTTATGTTTCTAAAGGTAAAAAAGGTGACACTGATTTGATTTTATATTTAAAATTGAGTTACGTCTGCATCCAAAACAACCTCCTGACATTGCAGCAGAATCATGGGCATAGGTTATTTGTTTTCCATGTAGTGAGTCACTTTAGACTAATAAATTCACTAAATAACAAATTCAAGGTGCTTTCCCATACTGAATGATACATAATGTGTAGCCTTCTTTGAAAGTTACTGTCTCGTGGGAGTCGATTACCTAGCTTTGTTTTTTGGACCTGATAAAAAAAAAATTCATTTTTTATTCTATCTTTTTATTTTTTTATTGATGGAGTTAACTGATTTTTTACTCTCTCTTAATACATGAAAGAGAATCAAGATGGGGTTACTGATGCATGTTTTCTTTGGAAAAATTCTAAATAGGATTCGTTCAAGAAACAATGTTTTCTATGTGGATTAAGGCCACTCTTGTTTCAGAAGAATCTAGCTTTTAAGGAGAAGAGATTTGGTTACCAATCCAATAAGCTGTATAGATAACTTACTTTCATTATTCTAGTGTTCCTTTGAAGGTTAGTGGTGGGATGAAGAGATGTAGGTATTTAATCCATAGACTCGGGGAAAAATTTCTGGCACAAGTAAAACCTTATTCAGATCTGTACAATTTTGATGTGATTGTCTGATTGAGGAATAAATTTTTTCACGGTCATCCCTTAGATTGCCACAGTCCGGAAATGAGGTTCCGAATTAAATGTGATTCTTTACATGCTCCTCCTGCTAACGAGTTAACCTCAGAGTTCGCCTTTCTAAAAACATGGTGAAAAGAGATAGGACAGTTTAAAGTTGAGTTGAAAAATCCTGACTCTTTGAGCCTCCATGGGTCATCACACGTGGTCCTGACACCTGACTAGCCTAATACTGTTATAAACAAATCACCTTCCATCATGAGGGGGTAACACAAATATTTTGTTTTCCCTTGGAAGGTATAATGCAAATTTGGTATTGTGTCTCAATGACCACTGAGTAATGCTCAAGAGTCTGTTCTTTGATGAAATGCAAAACCCACTAGTCCATAATAGGCATAGATGTTTGTAAGGAAATATTCCGTCCTAGTTAGCCTCGAGAACCCTCTATTTTCTTGAGCCCCTTTATCTCATTTGTCTCCTTCATTCATTACTTATACTCAATAGACTATGTGAGACATTGTGAGAAGAGAGGTCCTACAATGCCCATACTTGGAGAAGGTTCTCTCATGCTTTTTACTAGAGACCTCAATTTTTGGGTCTACTAGGATGCACTATAATGATGTCTTGAGTTGAGGCCATCTAAGAAGTTCATGTTTTTGAAGTTACTTTATGGTGGGAAAAGTTGCGGTTTTGCAGTTCAATACCACTGTAAAACCACCACATCTTGTATAGACGATCTTAGTCCACTAACATAGCGAGCTAAGGATTATTCTTCCCCTTCAACCACATCACTACAAGCTATCGACTCATAAATTTATTGGTATACTCCTCTACACCATTTTCTCCTTGATGAAGATTAGTCATCTTGTGCTAGAGGGATTGTAAATAATTTTCAAGTAGGTCTTTTTCTTTTAATTTATTTTTCATCTTCTTCCATGTATTAATTTTGGGCTTTCCCATCCACTCTCTTCTAGCCCTAAGTTGTTCCCACCATGCCAAGGCTCCTTTCTTGGCAATAATTTTTACCCTTTTATATTTAATTTTCTCCTTATAATAAAAAACCCGTTCTACTGTATTTAACCATTCTATAAACTCCTCGAGTTGAGGCTTATCGTCAAAATCAGGTATATCTACCTTCAAATCAACATCCCTAGAGTGATGCACCCCACGTTTAGGTCTCCAGTTGCTATCCTTATCACTCGACTTCACATGTGGAGCGTGATGGTGAAAAGGATGGCATTCGAGATCCTCTTGGGCTGAAAGATCACTGTCTTGCCCATTATTGAGGGTCGCAAATTGTTGTGTCTGTAATTGAATTTGTCTTTCAAGTTCCTCAATTCTCTTATTTCTAGGATCACAGAGCGGGTCCACGAAAATGCCCCTTCTCTGACCGCTTCTCGCTGCCATGGGTTTACCGAAATCACAAACCCTAGGCAATTAATCAATAAAAACTGTTGAAATCAACAAGATCTAAGTTGTTTTGGCAAAACTTTAGACAAAATCAGCAAACCCTATACCCCACTATAATTTCCTCTCTTTTTTGTTGACCTAGGGCGTAAAAAACAGTAGTGCTGCAGTTAATTCGTATGTGCTAGAGTAAATTATGTACTTGCTATAGTAACTTCCGTGTAGATCACGGGCTCTAATACCACTTGATGTAGGAGAACTTGAATAAACATAAAAAAATCAGCAATAAGCACCTTGTCAATAGCAATTTTGGATAAACCCTACGGCTTTCTCCCACTTAGGGCTCAAGCTTGAGGCTTCTTTTACAAGATAAAGTTTTTCTTTTCTTAAAGAGGAATACATGATGACTCTCCAGCCCATCTATGCCCTTATTTATATTAAAAATTATTGTTTTGGACAATATTGTTCCATATAATTAACTTTTGACCAAAAGGTCCTAACTAAAGTATAACTTAAAACTAAACTCCCTAATTTTAATTAAAATATCGAAAAAGTCCCTAACTGGTCCAGAAATGAAATAAATAAATAAAAACATCTGAAATAGTCTAAAAAAAAACTAAAAAAACACCCAAACTATTTCTTGCTCTTCTTGGAAGCCCTTTTAGGGTTTTCATCTTCCAAATATGAGCGCAAATTAGGAGGAATATGTCTCTCTCATAGAAGATACTCGTGGCTACTTCTTGTGTTCTGATCTCCATCAAATGCTCTAGAATATGAAGGTTTTAAAATTAGTCAGACTAAAACATATATAGAATGCAAATTTAATAATAATAGGAGTAGAGATGATGAAGTAGCTAAGATTAATGGTCATGAAATATGAAAAAGAGCACAAGAGCCCACTTTTGATATCTTGGGTCGATAATCCAGGAGAATGGGGAGAGTGAGGAAGATGTCGCACATAAAATTAAAGTTGGGTGGGTAAAGTAGAGATGTAAAACCGGAATTTTATATGATCGCTGCATGCCAATGAAGCTGAAGGGTAAGTTCTATAAGATAGTTGTGAGACTAGCTTTGTTCTATGGGATGGAGTGTTGGGCGGTTAAAAAACCTTATACTTGTAAAATGAGTGTAGCGGAGATGAGGATGTTGAGATGGATAAGTTGCAAGACAAGAAGAGATAGAATTCGAAAGGGCACCAATAGCCGTTAAGATGAGAGAGAGTAGCTCTAGGTGGGCTGGCCATGTGTGGCGTAGACCCAGTATAAAACCTGTTAGGAGATGTGAGTTAGTTCAAGTGGAAGGCTGATATGGTGATCAGAGCACAACAATAGTCAAAGTATCGTCTTTGGGAGCGACAAATTCTTCCTAATTTTTGCTCATATTTGGAAGATGAAAACTCTAAGAGGGCTTCCAAAAAGAACAAGGAGAGTAGGAAATAGTTTGATTTTTTTTTTAAGATTTTGAGGCTATTTCAAATGTTTTTTTTTTTTATTTCATTGTTAAACCAGTTAGGGATTTTTTAGATATTTTATTGAAAGTTTGGGAGTTTAGTTTCAAGTTATACTTAAGTTAGGACCTTTTGGTCAAAAGTTAATTGTATAGACAAATGTTGTCCAAAACAATAATTTTTCAATATAAATAAGGGTGTGGATGGGCTGGAGAGGCATTCACATATTCCTCTTCTAAAAAAAGAGAAGACTTTGTCTTGAGAAAAAAAGCCTAAGGTTTGAGCTGTAGGCGTGAGAAACTTAGGGGTTTCTCCAAAATTACTTTTGTCAAGGTGCTTTCTTGCTGATTTTTTATGTTTCTTCAAGTTTTCTACATCAAATTGGTATCAGAGTCTACGATCTACACGGAAGGTACTGTAGCAGTGCATGAAGCACTGTAGCAGTGTACGGAAGTTACTGTAGCAAGATTTTTTGTGCCCTAGGTCAACAACAAAGAGGGGAAGTTACAGTGGGATCTATGGTTTGCTGATTTTGGCCAAACTTTTACCAAAAACAACCTAGATCTTGTTTATTTCAGCAGTTTTGTTGACTAATTGCCCAGGGTTTCCGATTTCAGCAAGCCCATGACAGCAAGAAGGGCCATAGAAGGGGGATTTTCGTGGACCCGCTCTGTGATCCCAAAGATGAGAGAATTGAGGAACTTGAAATATAAGTTCAAAAGTTGACACAACAATTTGTAAGCCTCAATAATGGGCAAGGCGCTGATCTTTCAGGCCAAGAGGATCTCGAATATAACTCTTTTCACAATCGCGCTCCATGTGTGTAGTTGAGTGATGAGGATAGCGACCGGAGACCTAGACATGGGGGGCATCACTCTAGGGACGTTGATTTGAAGATGGATATACCTGATTTGTCTGTAACCTCAACCCATGAACTTAATAGATTGGTTATATACAACATACAGGGTTTTTTTATTATAAGGAGGTACCTGAAAATAAAAGGGTTAAAATTATTATATAAAATTAAAACAGGGTGCCTCGACATGGTGGGAACAACTTAGGACTGAAAGACAGAGGATGGAAAAGCCCAAAATTATTATATGAGAGAGGAATAAGAAATTAAAAGAAAAGTATATGCCTGAAAATTATTTGAAGTCCCTCTATCACAAGATAAATAATCTTCATCAAGGAGAAACGAGTGTAGTGGAGTATATCAATGAATTTTATGAGTTGATGGTTCGTAATGATGTGGTTGAAATGGAAGAACAGTCTCTAGCTCGCAATGTTGGTGCGCTAAGATCGTCTATACAAGATGTGGTGGTTTTATAGTGGTATTGGACCTTAGATGAGGCTTACAGCCTTGCAGTTAAGGATGAAACAAAGCTGAGGCATCAATCAT